GTCGTGCGCAAGTCTTTTGTGTAATGAACGTTACTTTCGGTAAAAAGGGGGCATACGGCCAGACAAACATTAAAGGCAGGCCAATCTTGGCCGTAAGGTACTTCAATTTTGAGGAGGCGTGCACAACGGCCATTGAAAGGCACGACGGCCATTGGCCGCGGTGCCGCGGCTTATGTCTAGCCCTGCTGGTGTTCCCCGACTGGTCGTTTCCGGTAGTCCACTATCATTTCTCTTGTTTTGTTGACATTAAGAGAGAGGTTATTCTCCAGACACCATTTGTACAGTGCCATCACCTCCTCTCTATAGGCCATCTCGTCGTTGTCCGTAATGAGGCCTATGATGGTTGTATCATCCGCAAACTTGATGATGCTATTGGACCTGTGTTTAGCGACACAATCGTGCATGAACAGGGAATACAGGAGGGGGCTAAGCACACATCCCTGCGGCGTTCCTGTGTTTAAGATGAGTGATGAGGAAGTGTGTTTACCAACTCTCACCACCTGGGGCCTGTTTGTGAGGAAGTTGATAATCCACATGCACATGGATGGTCCCAGCCCAAGGTTGACGAGCTTCAAGGCAAGTTTTGAGGGGATGATGGTGTTGAATGCCGAGCTGTAATCGATGAAGAGCATTCTTGCATATGTGTACCCCTTTTCCATGTGAGTGAGGGCGATGTGCATTGTCAAGGCGATGGCATCCTCTGTGGCTCTATTTGTTTGATAGGCAAACTAAAGAGGGTCTAGTGTGTCAGGGAGGGAGGAGCAGATGTGACCTTTGACCAGCCGCTCAAGGCACTTCATGATGGTTGATGTCAGTGCAACAGGGCGGTAGTCATTCATACAGGAGACCACTGGTTTCTTCGGGATAGGAATGATGGTGGATGTTTTGAAGGAAGTAGGGACCACCGACTGCCTTAGGGAGAGGTTAAAGATGCTGGTGAACACCCCTGCCAGCTGGTCGGCGCACGCTCTGAGGACCCAGCCTGGGATGCTGTCTGGTCCGGGAGCTTTATGAGGATTTATCTTTTTGAAAGACCATTTCACGTCTTCCGTTTTGAGTATGAGAGTATCAGCCTCACTGCCCCCTGAGGAAACAGGACCTGCTCTTTGTTGTCTCTGTTGATGTGTCTGGCACAATTTATTTTTGGCAACATTCACTTGTTGGTCTGCTGCGGCATATGACACACATTACTTGCTGCAGCCAGTTATACGCAACCACTATGTGTCTTACCTATTTCTCATAGCCTGGGTGCTGGGTAATGGAGGTGCACTGTCAGTGTCACCATCTGGAATGACTCCTGTTAGGAATGTTTCATCTATGAGCTGTGTTACCATTCAGTGGTGACACTGATGTGGTACTTGGGCCACCCCCTGTGGCATGGGTGTGGGGTCTGTGGGCTGCGATCCTTTTTTTGGTGGTCATTTTCATATTGAACCACATCTTCCTCACCACTGCCATCTTATAATTACTGGTGATACAGCATTATCTGCATGTGTCACCTGTTCCCAAGCTAGGTTCTTCTTTAACAGGCCGTTGGTAAAGTCGGCAAGAAATAAGACAGCGTGTTCTGTGGAAGATTGAGGGTGTGTCTTTGTTTAAAGTAGTCTTGCTGTGCATGTGCAGTCACATTTAGAATGCATGAGATTTATCAACATTCATTTTATGTCACTGTTCGTATGCGTGAATGATAAATACCAATTTTCCTGTGTTAATAAAAGTCCCTGTTTGACATTGGGGACATATGGCTCTGACTAAGAACTGTCTATTTATTAGTTTATGGAAAAATAATATTGAGATATATATTGTATATCGCTGTTCAGTTAAATATCGAGAGATGGTTTTTGGTCCATTGCCAAGCCCTAGTTTTTTGGCAGCACAGTTTGTAAAAGTATAGCATTAAATTTTTGGATTGTAATTGGTTTTGAGTGAAATTCACAGTTTGTTCTACTCGCGAGTTTGGCTTTCCTTTGTTCTTTCAGTGAACAGTCTCTCAGCAGTGGCTCTCTGCCTATCAGCTCTGAAGGCCTCGGTTCAGACATTTCCTCTGCAGTCAGTGTAGATGAGCCAGTCCGAAAACCTGCACCTGCCACCACTATTGACTTAACCAGTGGTAAGTCTGAAGGCCCCAGACCTGCAGTCCATAAGAGCTGCGATAAAGTTGACAGATTTTCAGGGGGCAGCTCAGGCAATTTTTTTCCATAGTGTGTTTAGTTGATTTTTTTTATATATTGTCCTGTTTACATTATCCTGGTAATCCCATCAGGTGTAGCTCTCAGAGCTCAGGTCAAACCCTCTGTGAACCGCCTTTCTGCTTCCTGTCCTTGCCCAGAAGATGACATCCTGTTCCAGTGGCGACTACGCCGCAAGATGGAACAGGCTAGCCAGTGGCCACTGCAAAAGCCTCGGGGTCAAGCTTCACAGCAGCCCAGCACAGTATGTAGACATCTGGTCATTATTAAAAGCCACACTGTTCATCTCAACAGGCACTGAATAATTACATGCTATACAATAGTGTTCTGTCTTTGGGTAATTTTGTCCTTTTTGTAGATTGAATTAAACAAATGGTGCTTACATTTCAGTCATACCATATACAGTGTATGTTTTGTCTAAAATTTCATTTAAAAAGTAGACATTAAATGTTTTAATGTTGATCTTTGTTTGACCTTGTCATCAGGATCATTAAAGTTAAATGGATGTGAATGTAAAGGATATCTAATCCTTCTTTTCCTCATGCAGACACCTTACTTGACTCCTCAAGAGTCAACTCATGGAGGCTTCCAGATGCCTACAGCTACTCCATCCCTCCCTATTTCTAGTCCCATAGTGACAATGCTTCCCAGTGACCTCACCATTCTACCCCGTATGCATCTTCTTTGCAATATGCAGCCCTGCTTACTTCAGCACCCACAGCTCACTGTCCAAAGAGGAAGTTTCGGAAAGCCTGTCTGTAATCCATCGCAAACCCAGGCTGAATCCACTGAATGCAGCCCTGAGACTGTCCCCAGCAAAAACTTCTCTTCTCTGCCTCCTGTGTCATCTGACACTGCTGAGGATGAGCAGGCACATCCAGGAGCTAACACTAGGAGACTGAGGAAGGTGTCACAGGAAGTCCAGACTGAGCAAAATCTGGAATCCACAGTGCCATCCTGCAACAAGAGAAACATACCTAGGTATAACCGGATGTTAAACAAATTAATTTTCCTATATGCATTTTTTATATTTGCTTTGATCTCTAAAAGCAGTAAAAATTTTAAATTTAGTTGATTTCAGTGAGGTCTGTCAATACTTGCAAAAAATTGCTTTTAAAAAAACTGGGATCATTTTAATCAGTAAAAGTTTCTGCTAGAAATTAATTCATGCTTCATGAAATTGTCCAGAAATTAAATCATTTAATCATTTTTTCATCTTTTTACTTTAACAAAGTGGTAAATAATTATCTTTTAGACACACTATAAAACCATCTTCTAGACACCATGCCAGAGGGGAAGGGGGACCACAGGCTGATCATAAAATGGAAGCTCAGCTTGGGTGTGGTGCTACCAGTGACAGCAAAAGGCAAGAGGTGGTGACCTCATGGCCACAGAAATCCACCAGACGAGGAAGTAAATCGGAAGGAAATGAGGTATCAAGATGCAGGGATCGTAAAGGCGACCAAACGCCACCACCATCTCCCATACACAGCACTCTAGGACAGGTGAAGACAACAAACCATTTAAATGTGTATAGCTGCGTTCTTAACTATTTTAGTAATATGTGCTGATTATTAAATTAACAGGTGGTCTCGGAGGTACTTTTCTCAGCACCAGATTCCCCTATTGAAGTCAAGACTCTGGGCTTCTCCAGTTCGCCCAGAAGCACGCCTCCTGCACCTCCACAGTCTCCAGCAGCTGACACCAACAGATTGCAGCCCCCTGAGGCCATCGTCCAGCTGTTACGTGAGGCTGAAGGTGGGGAAGGTGGCTATTTCACCGCTACTTAATCTCAGTGTAATCTCACAAAACTGTACTCGAGATGAAAATAATAGCAAAAATAAATTAAATTTCATTCATTCATTCATTTATTTATTTATTTACTTACAATATTATTGTTTGTTTATATCGCTTGGCCCTTTCACGCCAGGGCTGGTGCCCGTGCCGAACCTAAACTCCGGCCCTGTCGTTGCATTCACACCAAAAATAAACGATGTGGTGCCGTTATATACGGACTGGAGCTCACTTTTCTGGCCCTGAAAGATTGCTGGGTCAGAGTTGGGAGCGTGTGACGTCAGGAGGCGAGGTTAGAGTCGTCAGAGGGGAAAGCAAGTTTACGAAGCAATGCGGAGTGAGTTGGAAAAGGCAGGGGTTATCAGAATAACGAGCAAGTCGTGAACAAGATTTTTTTTAAATGAAAAAAATACAGTAAGTCGAAAAGAGAACTAAATAAAAACTGTGCTGGCTGCCCTAAAAATAAATATCGTATTTGGAAACCGACCTGCTATCCGGGTGACTGGAGCACTGATCTTGCCGACCGCTTTGGAGGAATCGGAAACATTGTTTTTGTCGTGTCTACTTGTAATGTGACTATGAACTTTAATTACGTTTGGTGTATATTGGATGCCTTCCAAGGATCCGTCAAACAAAATAGCATATCAATAAATGCTCAGTTGTGTTTTCTGTGTCGGACATGTGTTGTGGCAGGGTTGGGCTATATTATGGCGTTAAATTAGTGGCAAAACTCGCGCGTGTATGCACTGGCGAGCAGAATATCCATGCTCTCTACGCGCTCGCGTTTGTACTAGGGGTGTAACAGTACATCGATTTGTATCGATATATCGATTCAACAGCAAATAATCTGATGCATCGATGTGACCGCATAAATATCGATACATGCGTTATTTTCTCGCCTGTTCTAGTATTGTTTTCATGATCCATTCTGACGTATAAATGGTCTACACCAGCGGTGCCCAATAGCTTGATCGCGATCTACTGGTTGATTGCAAAGGTGGTGTGGGTAGATCCGTATGGCATAAAAAATAGAGGATGGATGATGTGTTCAACTGTGCCAGCTGCTGCAAGCTACCGAGTCACCTAGTTATCCTCCAATTTATTTCTACTAAACTTTAGAAAGGGCATAAAAATTAATGGGGGATCTGGACCAAGTAAGAAGCCAAAAACCTACCACTTCAAGGTGGTCTACCATTGCTATTCCGAAGAAGGGAAATGTGGAGCGGCATTTTCTGACTGTCCATAAAAATTACGACATTAACTTCCCTCCGAAAAGTGAGCTGAGAAATAGAAAGGTGAAGGAACTAAAATCCCAGTTCAATTCAAAAATACTTTATCCCAAAGGGAAATTATTATTATTAATAATAATAATAATAGTCATGATAATAAATAATATTAAAGAATACTCAATATTTTTATATATAAATATATGTTTTGCATTTTTATAGTAGGTAGATCATTTTGACTTGGTCATTTATAAGTAGCTTGCAAGCTAGCGTACCTTCAGAGCGTGTGTTTAGTACGGCAGGTGACATAGGACGCTACGCTCAGAGCACACAATCTCCTGAACACGTTGACCATTTAATTTTTCTTTAAAAAAAAAAACTCTCAAAGAAGAATACTGACATACTGTTGATCTTCCTCATTCTACATGCCTGTCCATGCAATGTTTTTTATTTGAATTTATTGCACTTTATTTAACTTGTTCTTGTATCCCAGCGTAGGGCAAGCGAGCAGGGAATGAGAAATCAGGGTCAGGCAGACGGAAATCCAACAAACGGCGGTGGGGGGTGGGGGGTTATTGCAAGCACAGTGCACAGCACATAACACGGGTAAAACTTCAATGACAGATCTGGGCGATTCAATGAATTAAATACACAGGACTAGACGAAACAATAAGAAACAGCTGGGAACAATCGGGAAATAAAAATTAGTCACCATGTTAATGAATTGTTTGATTACATCACATTTAAAGTGATCTTGAAAATCCAAGGGGTGTGCTTATTATCCCCCAGAGTCCACTGATGAAAACACACTCCATAGGACATGGCTGTCCCATTTTGTTTTAGAGCTATTAACCCCTTAGTTGTTGCTCCATTGCACTTTAAGTGGATGCAATATAATAATTAATAACTATTACAGACAAAAATAATATGAAAATCCATATGAGGCTAACTTAACCGCGGTCAGTGACAAGTTATCTTCCTCTTCTACCAAAGCAAATAGCCAATCGTAGTCAATATTTTAAAAAACCAATCAAAGGAGCAGAGATATTAGCCACTGTTCCCGCCTCCAAAGTGTCAAAATTCATCCTGTCGAGCGAGCGAGCTGTGCATACGCGAGCGCGTAGATGGGGTCCAGCGAACACGAGGGCGTAGAGAGGATGGGTTTTCAGCTCGCGAGCGCGGTTCAACTTTTGGCACTAATGTAACGCCGAGCGAGCGAGTGCTGTACAAACGCGAGCGCGTAGAGAGCATGGGGTTTTCTGCTGGGTTTTTATGAGCGCAAGTTTTGGCACTAATTTAACGCCATACTACATACATTGTTGTAATGACAACTTAGCTAACTAATAAGTTAACATTAAATTTTGACCTCTGTGTACCAGCCAGTGATACATAACATACAGCTATCTGCTTTGTTACAGCAATGAAAATATCACTCACACTATCTTGCTTGAAATGTCAGAATTTCAGTGAAATTTACCTATTGTGTCTTCTATGTGCTTGTTTTAAGGTGAAGAGAATGCAGATGGACAGGAGCATCACATTTTATATTTATTCCATGTGAAATATTTACATATTTCCTTATTTGTAAAATAAGTTTAGCAAAATGTTTTATTCTTATCTTCACTCTCCCTATCAAAGTAGCCCCTTAATGCATATTGTGCAGTAGTTCCTTCAGCGTCCGTTATTTTATGTGCATTTGCGCTGGTTTTAAAAGAAATTACTATGCATTTTAACCTTTATATGTTAATTTGTACTTCATTTGCAGTATAAAGGTTAAAATGCACAGTAATTTCTTGTCATAGCAGCACAAAAGCACATAAAATAAGTACGCATTTCTGCTGTTACAATAATCGATTGCCACACGTATCTCTTTTAAAGGTTGAATGCATACATGTGTTTCAGTTATATACATCCCTGCGTATTAGTATGCATGATTCACAGTTCATTCATGAATGCATCTCCAATTGCAACCCACTTTTTAACTGGAACACACAAACGGTAGTTTGTCTTGGTCTGCTGAAGTGCAGGAATAAGTCGTTAGCAGATGTACTCAAATGACTCGTGGGACATTCCAAAATGTTGAATGAACTGTGCTGGGTTAAACCCTGGAACAAGGGGAAAAATTATGTAAGCATCTGCAGCAAATTCAGAAAAGTTTTGCGGCCCTCCATTTTTGCCGTCTCTTCTGAAACAGTACCCCTCCCACAGCAATATGCACATGCTGATGTCATCATTCTACCCTTTCAGCACCAAGCGCGGTGTGAAAGCGAGATGGTTTTTGGTGGGGCTGGTGTGAACTCCAGCTCAGCTCTGGCAAGGACTTGGTGTGAAAGGGGTATCTGAGGGTCCTTGTTTTTAGTGCTACAGATTTTCAAAATAAGTTCTTTTACTAATAGTTTTTCCCTTTTCTTATATGTTTTTCTACAGACTCTGATGGGCTGGAGTTTGAAGATGACCCCTTGCTGCAAGTCCTAAGGCAGCAGAGGGAATGGGTAAAAGAGCAGATCAGGTAAGAGACTGAACTGAGAAAGGGCCGTTGAGTTCATGCAAAATATGGTGCTCTTTGTTAGAAGCTAATTAGATGTGAACAATTTTGCTGTTTTTAAACAAGCTGATATAATCTAAGCAGCTACATTTTCAGATTTTTTTGTCTGTTTCAGTGAAATTGATGCAGTGTTGAATGATCTTCAAGAAACTGGCGATGCCGAGGAATGAACAATCCAGATATGAAATATTTGTATTTGTGCATAAATACAATCACTTATTTAATAAAATAAAGTTTACAACCACCTGGAATGGCATGAAATTTTTATATAACGAAATATGGGGAATTATTAATAGAGGAATAAATATTTGAGGCTCAAATTTTGTGATGATAAAAATGATTTTTTTCCATGCCATGTAACAATCTTGGGTGTTTGTGTGTACATCTTACTGTGTGACAGTTGAACATTACAAATGACTTTTTGGATGTAGGGTTGTGTGTAAACACAATCTTTGGCCTTCAAAAGTACAAATTACAGCTTGCTGTGAATGAAGGGCTGAAAACCTTTCTCCTGCTGTAGTGGAGCAGACATTATTAGGATTCTGTGGAAGGAAATTGATGATAAAAGCCATTGATACAAAAAAGCACTTTGAATTACACTAACTAAATAAGAACACATTGCATTTAATGCTGGAATGAAAACGCATTGCATTTAAGAATGCTTGACTATTTGGGGGTTGTAATTTAATGTGAATGTATATTAAAACATTGAATAGTTCAATTGAAGATATTCCGGTTGGTATTTCATTGGTAAAATAATCAATACAAAAATATTCAACTTCCAGTTCCAAAATATACAGTTTATAAAGTTAACTTTTATAATTCAGTTGCCTGAATTCAGTTAATTTACTTCTACCTCAAAATAAATTACCTCAAAATAAATTTCAAGACAAAAAAATAAAGTTGGGAACATTCAATTCTTCATAATTCACGAGGTACTGTAGTACCCAGTCATCTTATTTTGCTTTACAAATATGCAGCCAAAATTTCAGTGGTTTAAAATATGGTTCGAAAGAGTCAACAGTAAGTGTGCGATAAGTAGGCCAACAAGTTCTGTTGCACCGGTTAATGGAATGGTAGATTTTCTTTGTGTCATGGGACATGAGTGTCCCAAAGTCGGCTACTGTCCCATCTCTTCCATCTAGCTAGTAATGAAACTTTCTAGCACTAATTAAGGGAATGACGTTACATGTGGAAAACTATCTGTTGTCCAGTTCTAATATATGCATTTTTAAAAATGTTGCCAGTCATTTCAAACTGTCTTGCAGTGCCGGTACTTTGAAAACTCTTTAAAGTACAGCTGCCATCTGTCATATTTTATGTGACGGACAGCAGCCATTTACTTACCTTGTATTGTAAAATAATGTTGTGTCCCGTTTTGAACCAATACTGGATGCGATTTGTCTGTATTTTTGGATTGCTAAGTTTATGGTTGGGGACCCGGGTGGAAGAAGCATTTCTTATTTTTTGAGATGATGGTGAATGAGCCGCTGAAATCCCTTGCCCTTCACTATGGAAAATGGTCATATCATCTGCAAAAAAGCAAAGATGCGATCCTGAGGCCCCCAAACATCAAGAGTTTTCAAGAACTCAAGGTGAATCTCATCCACCCTCGGAGCCCTACCACCAAGTAGTTGTTTGACTACTTCAGTGACCTCAGCCCCAGAGACAGGCAAGTCCTCCTCTTAGTCTTTGGGCTCTACTTCCTCGGAGGAAAGCGTATCAGTGGGTTTAAAGCAGGGGTCTCAAACTCCAGTCCTGGGGGGTCGGAGCCCTGCACATGTTTGGGTTTCCCCTCATTTAACACACCTGATTCAACTCCTTGTGCTAATTACCACACAGCTCTTGAGCTGAATCATTTGTGGTGGAACAGGGAAAGAACTAAGCTACACAGGGCTGCGACCCTCCAGGACTGGAGTTTGAGACCCCTGGTTTAAGGAGATCCTCGAAATATTCTTTTCACCACCTGTTATATCCCAAGTTGAGGTCAACCGCTCTCCACTCCTGCTATAAATAGCTTTGGTGAAGCCCTGCTTCCCCCTCCTGGGGTGCCTGACAGTTCGCCAGAACCTTTTCGAGGCCAACCGAAAGTCCTCCATAGCCTCACCAAAATCTTCCCACACCCAAGTTTTTACCTCAGCAACTGCCCAAGCTGCTTCCCAATTGGCTTGCTGGTACCTGTCCTCTGCTTCCGTAGTCCCACAAGCTAACCAAGCCCTGAAGGCCTCCTTCAGCATGACAGCTCCCTTTACCAATGGTGTCCACCACTGGGTTCAGGGATTGTCGCCGTGACTGGCACTAACAACCTTACAGCCACAGCTCTGCACCGCCGCCTCAGCATTGGAGTTCCAAAGCATAGCCTATTCAGGCTCTATGTCTCCTGATTCCCTCAGGACAGAAGTTAAATTCTCCTGGAGGTGGGGCCTCTGCCAGATGCTCCCAGCACACCCTCACTATGTGTTTGGGTCTACCAGATCTATCCAGCATCTTCCCCCACCATTGGATCCAACTCACCACAAGGTGTTGATCAGTTGACAGCTCAGCTACTCTCTTCACCTCGAGTGTCCAAAATAAATAGACACAGATCCGACAATATGATTACAAAATCAATCATCAAACTGCGGCCTTCGGTGCTCTGGCTAAGTGCACTTATGAACACCCTTATTGTAGAAAAGGCTTTATGTTTGTTTTGGGGGACTTTATGTTTGTGTTGTTTGCGCGCGAACTGACATATTTCCTGTGTAATCTAACTTCTTTTCTTTTCCTTGCCTGCCTATAACGAGTAGCTAGCCCCTCAAGTTTGGTGTGCTCCAAAATATAATTATAATTTAATGAGGACATTTGCAGTTAATTCTGTGCAATACAGCTGATATTGGAGTTTGAGTCAATGATGAGAAATAAGTTCATGTTGCATTTTATGTTTACATCGTCCATCCATCCATCCATTATCTCCCGCTTATCCGAGGTCGGGTCGCGGGGGCAGCAGTCTCAGCAGGGAAACCCAGACTTCCCTCTCCCTGGCCACTTCTTCCAGCTCCTCTGGGGGAATCCCGAGGCGTTCCCAGGCCAGCCGAGAGACATAGTCCCTCCAGCGTGTCCTGAGTCTTCCACGGGGCCTCCTCCCAGTGGGACATGCCCGAAACACCTCACCAGGGAGGCGTCCAGGAGGCATCCTAATCAGATGCCCGAGCCACCTCATCTGACTCCTCTCAATGCGGAGGAGCAGTGGCTCTACTCTGAGTCCCTCCCAAATGACAGAGCTCCTTATCCTATCTCTAATGGAGAGCCCAGCCACTGTGCGGAGGAAACTCATTTCGGCCGCTTGCACTCGCGATCTTGTTCTTTCGGTCACTACCCACAGCTCGTGACCATAGGTGAGGGTAGGAACGTAGATCGACTGGTAAATCAAGAGCTTCGCCTTTTGGCTCAGCTCCTTCTTTACTATGACAGACCGATGCAGTGCCCGCATCACTGCGGACACCGCACCGATCCGCCTGTCGATCTCCCACTCCATCATCCCCCCACCCGTGAACAAGACGCCGAGATACTTAAACTCCTCCACTTGGGGAAGGACCCCATCCCCGACCCAGAGAGAGCATTCTACCCTTTTCCGGCTGAGGACCATGGTCTTGGATTTGGTGGTGCTGATTCTCATCCCAGCCGCTTCACACTCGGCTGCGAACTGTCCCAGTGAGAGCTGAAGGTCACGGTCCGATGAGGCCAACAGGACCACATCATCTGCAAAAAGCAGACACCTAATCCTGAGGTCACCAAACTGGACACCTTCAATGCCCTGGCTGCGCCTAGAAATTCTGTCCATAAAAAGTATGAACAGAATCGGTGACAAAGGGCAACCCTGACGGAGTCCAACCCTCACCGGAAACAAGTCCGACTTATTGCCGCCCATGCGGACCAGACTCTAGCACCGGTCATACAGGGACCGAACAGCCCTTAAAAGGAAGCCCGGCACCCCATACTCCCGGAGCACCCCCCACAGGACTCCCCGAGGGACACGGTCGAATGCCACAAAACACATGTAGACTGGTTGGGCAAACTCCCATGAACCCTCCAGAACCCTGCGGAGAGTATAGAGCTGGTCCACTGTTCCACAGCCTGGGCGAAAACCACACTGCTCCTCCTGAATCCGAGGTTCGACAATCCGGCGGACCCTCCTCTCCAGAACCCCCGAATAGACCTTATCAGGGAGGCTGAGGAGTGTGATCCCCCTATAGTTGGAGCACACC